AAGAAGAAGAAGAAGAAGACTTGATGTTTGTTGAAATTGACGATGCAGTACTCTCATCACATTTTCGGTGTGGTCCACATACATTGTGCCGGGTGGCTTCAAAAGATACGGAGAATGCATTGACAAATGCAACATACAAGGAGCACCATGACACTGCATTTAGTAAGATAAATTCGCTATATAAATGCACCAATCGACCCAAATCAAGTGAAATAATTCATGACATTTTAAAGATTGCGCTTATTTTGCCCGTCAAAACAAGATGGAATAGCATTTTCGATAGTGTCGAACACATTCTATCTTTCGAGCTGAAAACTTTGAACACTTTGATGCTTGAATTAGATTTGCCCCAATTTAGTCATGCTGACCACCAACTTTTAACCGAATACATTCAAGTCATGGAGCCAATAGCGACGGCTATCAATAATTTGCAAGCATCCAACTCTTATTATGCAATATTGTTGCCAACACTGCACAGTATCAAATATAGTTTTGATGATCTCAGTACACAAAGACTAAAATATTGCAAACCGCTTTTGGAAGCAATCAAAAGAGGATTTTTCAATCGATTCGCTCGATTTTTCAACATTGATGACGAACAATGTCAAGCAGCAACAGTCGCTTCAATGACCCATCCACACTTCAAAATGAGATGGCTACACCAGGAGTACCACAACAGACGCTACTTGAATGAAATTCGAGAGCTCTTAATTGCAAAGGCGATTGAGATCTCACACTTCGATGCAAACATGAATGAAGTCGAACAACCACCGGAAGGTGAAACAAAAACAGGTAATATTTTTATATTACATTTTTTTTCATAAGTTTTGTTCAAAATTACTTCCAGGCAAGCGGAAATTTCGCTACACCTTCACCGATACTTCCCAAGGAAGAAGAACTGGCATTTGTAGAGAGAATACCATCAGAGCAGAGGTCGCGACCTGGCTTGGCGCAAAAGAATCGATATCGGAAAACGACCTCTCCCAACTGGACAAAAACCATTTCCCCAACATTCGCAAGCTCTTCATCAAGTATAATACAATTATTTCGTCTTCAGCTCCCGTGGAGCGGCTATTTTCCTTTGCGAAAATGATTTCGCGGCCACAGAGTCAGAATTTTCTTGACGCTCGCTTTGAAAAGCTGTTGATTTTAAAAACACTAAAGCTATTCAAATAAAACAAATTAAATTAAAAGAAATTTTGAATTGAATGAAATGTGCAAATATATTCGGAAAAATTTATAATTTTCATTTGTTGTTTTTTTTCAATAGTGATTTAAAAAAATTGATTTAAAAATAAAAAAATCAAATAAACTTATTTATTCTGATGACTACAAATCAAATAAATCATTTGATTTGATTTGAAATACACTAACATTTTAAATCAAATCATTTGATTTATTTGATTTGAAGCAATCAAATAAATCATTGATTTGTGATTTGATCTGTTGATTTACAAATCAATTGATCTTAAATCCTCGAACGATAGATTCTATTCCAATAGTTCTTCAATATTAATTTGGTTTCTTTTACCGATAAAAAGTTTGGCGACATCATTGTGACCTGAAAAATAATAAAGATCAATAAAAAAGATCAAAGCGGTATTTAATTTAGTCAGCAGTACCATTCTCAGCAGCTAGCTGACGAGGTGTTAGATTCGCATGATTTCTAATATCAACTTTGGCTCCATTTTTGATGAGAAGTTCAGCAACATTCTTGTGACCTTAGAAATAATTTAGATCGATGAAAAAGATCAAACCGATTCTTTATTTTGTGAAAATAACTATTCAACATTACCATTTATAGCAGCATAATGAAGAGGTGTATCATTAAAAGTATTCATGATATCCATACTGGCGCCTTTGTTGAGGAGAACCTTGGCGACATTTTTGTGACCTGAAAAATAATTCAGATCGATGGAAAAGACCAAATCAATCTTTTATTTAATGAAAACAAGTATTCAACATTACCTTTTCCAGCAGCTAAATGAAGAGCTGTGAAATTCGAAACATCTCCAATATCTGCGTTAGCTCCATTCTTGAGAAGCACATCAGCGACACCTTCGTGACCTAAAATAATACGGATGAAATTAAATCAATTTCCCATTTAGTAAAAAAAAAGTCAAGGCTGCACTGACGAAGTGTAGTAGACATCACACACAACTCTGACACCCGTGTATATATGCTAGTCGGTTTTTTGTGTGAGTTGGTTGCGATGGCTGTATATGCGATGTTTGTTTGCACGATAGTTGTGTGCGCGGCAGTTGCATCGCGATATGCTTGTCTATTGGCCGAAGCATATTCAAAGCTGCTTAGCAATGCTTATGCGCATAGTACTCGAAAGAGTATTCAACATTACCATGGGAAGCAGCAAAATGAAGAGGTGTCTCTTTCTCAATAGTTTCACTATCAAGATTGGCTCCTTTGCGGATCAGAAGTTCGGCGACACTCTTGTGACCTGAACAATAACACCGATCGATGGGATAAAATCAGCTCAATCTTTTATTCAATAACAATAAGTATTCAACGTTACCTTTCCTAGCAGCATAATGCAGAGCTGTCTCGTTAAAATTATTTCCAATATTAGGGTCGGCTCCTTCAGCGATGAGGTTTTGAGCTTTATTCACTTTGCCTGAAAGAATATGAAAAATATTCTTAGACCAATGAAACGGATTGAACAAAACATTCTTTTTTATAAAAAAAGATGTCCAAAATTACCAGCAAAAGCAGCTCTATGCAGAGCTGTCTCTC